CAGTTCTGCAGTGACAGGAAAGTCAAAAGGCAAAGACGTGAAAATGTTTTCTACTGTAAAACCTACACTCGACACCCTGGCTTGCACTCCGACATTTGCTTTCAAAAGTATCAAACGCTGCGAATACTGCTAGTATAGTTCAGTAATTCAAATGAAAACATTCAGGACAATGCAGAGTTATTTCAAACTGAACATAGTGAATTTTAAAATTTGGTCTGAAAGGTTCAGTCTCTATTGATAACACTAAAAATGCGAAATCAAACAAGGGGGCAGTGTTACTCGTTTCTCATGGGATACAAGACGTTTGATGGTGTGAGCAATCTCACGCCAGCAAAACAAAACAAAATGTGCAAAATATTGTGTTTCTTAGCGTGCCTCCTCGACTTGCAAGTCGCATATCAATGCAATGTCTCCCCACTGGAGAACGTGAAGAAATCTGAATGTTGGTTTCGACGTAACCATTGCTTGCTGTTTTCCCTATAGCTATTTTGAATTTAGAAACCTCAATGGTAGACTTTTCTTAGACTGTGGGATGCCCTGAGAAGGTATGAAAGAACCGCCCCCATGTCTAACAAATTAGTGCTTGCATGACGGTGTTGTCAAAGTATGCGTCTGCCACGCGGAGAAACGAGGTTCAAACACAGCTTCACCCGGTTCTTTCTTTTAAGGTTTTCTCTACTCTTCTGGAAAGTTCCAGGCCTTTCTCAGCTGTCATTGTGCGTTCTGGTTTGGAATGTTCCTTAACTTACCGCTTGTGTAAAAGCGGCAGTAACGGGCTGCTCTGGGCAGTCACTCTACCGTCACTGAGTCAGGATGCTCAATATCTTCCGTTTTGGCTCCCAGGCACAAGTTTGCCTCATTAAACATCTATTTTAAGTTCTACATTAGTCTACCATTTTCCATCTGCGACATATTCGTCGTCCTTAGCCTATTAATCGTGTGTAACGTAAGCCCAAGGGCCTGATTCTCGACTTCGTCACAGCGTGAGGTATGTCTGATACATCTCTGGTTCACAAACGACGTCGAAACTAGCAATGTTTACCAATCAAGGCGGGTAAAAGATAAGCCTTCTTGGACAGTTCCGTGTGAGATAGGACATTCACTTGTGTTGCACTGGATATTTCTAGTTTCAGCATTGCACAAGCGCAGTCAACGTGCTTTTGCTTTTACGGAGTTTACTCAGTTTCTGCAATAAATAAGTGCAGTACCTATATGCTGATATAAAAAAGGCATCGGACTATATACATTCACAAATGCAACTAGATAGCAAATACCACTGCTAAGAGAAAAAACAAGCCACAAATTAGGTTTCTGGGAAGATGTGGTGAGAGATGAGAAGAAACCTGCAAAGCATTTGTGTTGACCCTCGGAGATATTAATGGCAAAGACCCAGGGGCAGCGTTATCAGTGAGGGCATGTCACGATTAGTGATATCGCTATCTTCCCGACCATGAAACCAAAAGCGGCAGCCTTGAGCACATCACCTTTAAACAACACCATGGACGAAGGGGGCAGGCAGTGGCCAAGTTGTCAAGTAAGCAGAGAAAAACATTCCAAGCAAATGGCAACAGACAACACCCCACAGGACATCATCTGCAATGCAAGCTACACTGCTCCATACTGGTATGGCCAATATCACACACAGCTACAAGCTGGAGCCACACTTTCTCCATGCTGAACATCAATTGGGTCACCAGACAACCTGCTTAAGCAACTCCACTCAATTTAGGAGAAACTGTTAAAGGGACACTGACAGGGTTTTTATTTGTATGTGACATATGAGAGCCCAACTACCCAGAACAGAAATTGCGGCTCGAAATTCGGTTTCTTTTTTGCCCAAAAACCGCCGATCGAGAACTGGCCGGTTTGAGTCGCGCTCACTCTCATCTCCGTGGTCACGGGCCGTTGTCTAAGGTTTAGATACAGCCACCAAATTGAATCAAAGTCGTAGGTCATCGAAGGCACGTACACAATATTAAGAATAGAAAAGAAATATGATACCCATTTTTTGTGGCTTGTAAGAAGCTACAAATGCGTTGCTTGGTAAGAAAAAAGTATCACGGGCCACGTGACTTCCGTCACCTTTCTCCTCCTCTATATTTCTTCTTCCTCCCCAGTCCAGTTTCCGTTTCGAGGAGTTGCGTTTTTTTACTTTATTAAAGACATATGTGATGCTGTAGCAAAACAGTGATTGGGTAGTCTTTCGACACCATAATAAATCGCCCGGCAAAAAATAAAAAATTAATTTCGGGGGGTGTCAGTGTCTCTTTAAAGCGGGTGATTTGACATTGATAAGTATTAATGAATGGCTCTACACCATTTCATTCTCGAAAAGATTAATATTTTTCAAACAGCCTTTGATTTAGATATGACCACAAAGCCAAAAGTTTGGTTGCAGTGGGCAACATTGGCTCCAGACAGTGAAATAGCACACCCACGTGGCACAATCAGTCCCACGATCCACCAAGCAAGCGGGCGCAGCACAAGTGTCACCTGCATCCAACCACGCCGGAGCTACTGCGGCCCGTGCGCGTCTGGTTCGGGAACACGTCCGAAGTTTGTGAGCAAAACGGCATCGATGCAGAAGAGACATACACCATGTCGGGATTAATCTCTAGCAGGTGGCCAGAGCAATGTGTTTGTGACGTTGCGTCCAAAGCGCAGGCACGTGCACATCCCGCAAAGCGTGAATGCTGCTGCTGTGCCACCTGTGGGCTTTGTCCGGGAAAGTAAAAAAACAACCCAAAAAATAGTGAGGTCTTTGATGTAGTCAATGTCAGACATCACGAACAGATATAGCAGATTTCCTTCACTTCCGACATCTCGAACTTTGCTGACCAATTCAATAAACATTTAGACTAACAAAAATCAAGCGGAGTCCCCCGTTTAGGAACAAATGTAAAAGAACCTGATCGGCAGAGCTCGAATAACCACGTCGTTGTTGCCACCCCACTCAAAACCTATCTGTTGCAGCACAGTATAAAGTCCGAACTACAAAAAGCTCTGGTTTTTGTACAAGGTAGGTAAGCAGCATGAGAAAAGAAAGCAATTACAATGCCAAACAGCTGCTATTGGTAGCTTTAGTCTCTACTGCAAAGTTAAAAATAAAAAGGAAACAATAAAACTCGCAATGCCAATGCGCCATCTGCAAGAAACTGAACCCACACTCAAGGGTAGAGTTCGTCACGAAAGCTAATCAGTTCCATCCCGCTCCCCTCTCCTTGCAATACAGTATGCACCACTTTGAGCTAACACGTATGTGTGTAAAGTGCAGGCATCGGTCACATCTAGTTGTATCTAAGGGACATGCCAGGACAAAGCCACAGGAACCTGATCCGGAGAGCCAAGAAAGCCAATCTACTAAAGGCATCGCCCTGCTGTTCCAATGTGCACAAGTCATCTTAGCAGAAAATTAGCAAGCAATCTAAGCACATGACTTGAAAGAAATCTTAGTAGACGAACAGTAAATTATCAAATTCAAGATGTTGCCTACGATCTTTCGGATTGTAATCTAGAAAATGTATGGTTTGGGATTTGAACTTGAAAGTTCGCTTGTCCTACATTTAGCAAAAATGGCACCAGAGTGTCTCAGGTTGATTGGCGCTCTTGTTTTTTGTGGGCCCCAAGATCCTAAGTGCTGTGAATATGTTACATGGTGTTTTCTCGTGAAGGTACTTGCATTCCATTTTTAGTTTTTGCCGAGGAAGCCGATAACTTGGAGCCTAAAGACACCCTCACGGCCCAAAGAAGGCCAAGCAATTTCAACGCTGCCCCCAACCCATGATGCTGAATCTTGAACAGACACAAACAATGAGAATGAAGAAGCGCTGAGCATGAGTTTTTCCTTCTGATTCCAAAACAGTCAGTCCTCATTAAACCACTAACAGGAACAGACTCTCTTTGTGATAGTTATCTCTGTGACGTGGCGCTGAACTCGAGAATTATTTACGCACAATATACAAAAAGCGCACAAAAGGCGGGACAGAAAAGAAAACACACATGACAAAAAAGCAACGAGGGATTGTGCTTGTAGCTAAGTGATCATGATCAGTTTTTCAGGTAGTCTTGAAAAGAGAATGGGGATAGTAGCTCTTATGAAATTAAAGCCAAGGGATTGTAATGCGCATTAACAAACTGGGGTTGGTTTTTTTTTTTTTTTTTTTCATTGTGCACGACGTTTTAATGAGAAATCACTTGCAAACAAGCAACTGTCTGTCGTGCTTTTTTTTTGTGTGTGTGTTCTTGTTTGTATGCTTTTTCTAGACCATTAACCTATACCAACGCGCCCCATTCTTCACCACTCTGCGGTTCAGAGCGCATCAAATTAAACAACTATAACTAAATCTTCCGCTTTATAACGTGAAAAAAAAAAAAGCAAGATCATGCTTTGTTGATATTGTCCGCGCAAACAATTTATGCACCCGAACCAAATCTTTTTCAAATGATCGGATTTCCAGGAGGTCAATAATCAGTATATGTTAGCAAAACAGATATTAACAAAAAAATTAATTAATTCTTTGGTGTCAGGCGGAGAGCTAAAAATGCTTGCATGGCCATTTCTTAGCAGACAGCACGACACAGCCCCAACGCGGCCATCATTCACAACTCTGGAGATTTCGCAGAGAGAATCGGCAGGTCACGACTTCCCCTACAAACTAGCTGAAACCAGGCGAAGGCTATCCGATGACACAACCAACAACCTCTGAGCCAGCAAAGCGATCATGGATACAGCGTCAACCCGCGGGAGCGCCAGACCTTGAAAAGCGGTCGGCGTGTGATCGCCGAGGCCGCTACAGAGTCACGCTCGCTGGCTCACTGCTTGAGGCGCGCACAGCTCACACACAGGCTAAGGTCGCGGCTGTGAAACGCAGCTCACCAACCAGTCGCGAAAACCATCCCATAGCGACCTTTAAATAGAGCAGTTTGAAAAGCGCGTTGCGTAGGCCTAGTCCAAACCGGGGTGATCTCCCCCTACCCCGTCCTGTGCCCGCTTTGTTTACCTTGAAGTATCCGCCTTCGTATAGCGTGTCCGGCGGTCCGAAGATGGCCACTTCCCACTCGAAAAGATTGTCCTCGTTTACCAGTTTCACACGGAAACCTTCCACGGGCTCCTCTTGCAAACCCTTGAATTCGAGTCCCAGCGCACGTAGAGCGCTGCTTGTCGGCTGTTGAGCCATGGCGTGCCTGCTTCCGAGGAAAGGTGCCGCCAAGCTGCCGGGGAACTTGTAAAAAAAAAAAAAAAGAACACACGGACCACCCTTGCTGTGTTCGCGTTTGAGCACCGACACAAAAATCGTTTCCGCAGTATGAACAATGAAATCGCCGTCTCCCTGCGTCAAAAAACACCAACAAAGATGGCCGCCAATGACGTCAGAGGAAGTTGCAGAACAAACCGGAAGTCGCGTGCCGGTGATGATGATGAGCGCTGAGCCTCCGCACGCGGCCACGCCGCCACGCGGCGACGGCGGCGACCTAGCGCAACACCTGCCTAGAGCACTATATAGCTCCTACGGAGCAGAGTAGCGCAATCCTTTGAACCCCGTGTTTTGCCGACAACATGGCCGACAGAGCAGCTCGGCGCGAGTCACGTGGTACTCAGGGTTCCAAGAGGCGGCCCGCCCTAGAGCACTATATAGCTCCTACGGAGCAGAGTAGCGCCATCCTTTGAACCCCGTGTTTTGCCGACAACATGGCCGACAGAGCGGCTCGGCGCGAGTCACGTGGTACTCAGGGTTCCAGGAGGCGGCCCGCCCTCCCCGCCCTATGGAAGAATACATGGAGATCGACATAACACGGCTGATTAAAAAACTAACGGCGAGTTCACACTTTTCAAAACTAGTCTGTCGTGAAGTTAGTAAAGCACTAAACCATTTATCAAAGTTTTAATAATATCGGATGCATGTGCAAATTTTGAGAAGGCAATTTCCAAGGCAATGGCGTTTGAAGCAGACGATTTTTGCTCGCAGCGGAGATGGGCCTTTCGGGTTGGCCGGAGCGGGTCACGTGAATGGTGTGACGTCGCCGTGTCGTCTGCTGCATGATGCCGCTCAGGCAATTTTTAAAAAAAAGTCACGTCCTTGCGGGGCACAAAACTTAGCGCAAATTATTCTAAAATGTTCCATTATTATGTCAAAAACAATTGCCATTCTGTACAAACCCACAATACTGAAGAAACAACGTTTTTCTCACGTTCTCCATGCATTTCTGACCACAGTTGGAACCTCCGGGCGTTCGCCGCTAGTCGCCGAGAGGCGGCGTTCTAGATTGCGCTACTCTGCTCCGAAGGAGCTATATAGTGCTCTACACCTGCCTAGCGCCAGGGGGGTAAAGGTGGGTGAGGAGGAGTGGCAAATCAACACGGCAAATCCCGTGCGCCGACACCCGGGGTCGCGAGTGAACGATCGCAAAAGAGAGCGTCAGAACACGAGAGAAAGAAAGCAACGTTGCCATGGTAAACGCGAAGAGTGAAAACTCTCAGCAATATAAACAGTGATAATTTAACATTGTAAATTAAATTCTGAGCTATCCTAACGCTTATAGACCAGTGTCCGCGCCAATTCCAGGGCGCCGCCATGTTTATCTACGCTCGCGCCACCACGCGGAGAGAACTGGCAGGCAGGAGGGGGGGGGGGGGCTGCGTTGGCGGCGTTCCTTTGGGGAGCTGGATGCGGCAGGCTGCCCGAATGCACCGGCATATCGTGAAAGATGTCTTCACCAGAAGCCTCCGCGGCCCGTTCGTCTGCTGACTCTTGACATCCGCGTTTCAGTCCGGGTTCATTGCGTAGTAAATATTTCGCTGCCGCTTTCTTGTAGCTTTCAAATGCTTGATTGTCGGCTTCTTGTATACGACATTACATTCGTGGCACGGTTGAGACCGATTTTCGCGATCTGCTTGCCTTTGTGCGGCTCTGCCGAGCCGAAATAAGTGGGAGGCGTTTACTTGATCGAACGCCGTTTTAGCGAATGAAAACGAGACCACGACGTTTCATCAAATGACTAGCAAATGGGTTTAGTTCCATAGACAGCTCGGATTAGCTTTCTTTTGTAATGTGCCGCCTTGTCTGCCGCCGCGAAGCGGCGAAAACGAGGGCTCCGAGTGTGTTAGCACGCCCCACGCCCCCCCCCCCCCCCCCCCCCCCCCACACACACACACACACACACACACACTGCGAGCGTCTGGGTTCGAAACTATTAATTGCCAGTTCTAAAGGATGGTACTTACTTGAAGTGGGAGCTGGAATTCTACGAGGTATTACTATCGGGCAACGAAGCGGGGTGCCTGTGGGGACGGAGTCTAGGAACGCTACTGATTAATATTGTGACAGGCGATCAGTTATGATAACAGACGAAACTTCGACTCGTTTGTTCAGAAGCTCGCGGTGATATTTTATTAGCCCTCGTTATAGCACACCAAGGATCTTAGGCAGTGAAATTCACATCACGCAAACTCGTCCGTCGTAGTCAAATGAGCGCAGTCGACGACGAAATGTAATGAGCTACTAAGCTTCACAAGGTAAATGCCCGCGAGAAAGAGTTTTGTGGCAGCCCAAAACACCGATCCAGCAGACGCACGTACGTACGTACGTTTACTCCGGACTCCATGAACCCGACGGCGCAAGATCAAAGCGATCAAAGAGCACCGCCGCCATCGCCACCCGGTTTTCTCTGCACTTAGCGCGACAACGGCACTGCAACGGAGGGCACTCACCTCGGCGTTAACAATCTGCGAAATAGATTAATTTCCCACTCTTGAAGCCATTCCAAATGATAAATGAAAATATCTCGGCGTTGTATAGAACATCTGACGACACAACTGTGCCGAGCGCCTGCTCGGCGTCGTTGTTGCTCGTGCAGGCCTGCTTATTTGTAGTTGAGACGATGATTCCACATCTTTCGTGCCACTCGTGGTGCCTGCGATAACTTCGAAGGGCAGGGGAATCTTCTCACGAGGACGTTGAAGACACTCAACACCGGAGCCACCAAAGCAATCGCACAAACCGTCGCCATGTTTGCTTCTTCGTCACTCGCGGTGCGATCAACTCGTCGCGAGATGTTTGCTGGCTCGGCTAGATGGAAACCAACAGCGGCAAAGTGGCGTATGGACACACCGCTCTCACATTACGGGCACTATACTCACATACCGCGGTAAACAGGACCGATGCCGGCGAAACTGCAGTCGGCACACCAGCGAAGAAGCCTTCAACGGGAAGCGGCGGTGCAGGCCGACGTAGAGCACTATATAGCTCCTACGGAGCAGAGTAGCGCAATCCTTTGAACCTCGTGTTTTGCCGACAAGATGGCCGACAGAGCGGCTCGGCGCGAGTCACGTGGTACTCAGGGTTCCAGGAGGCGGCCCGCCCTATGGGAGAATACATGGAGATCGGTACAACACGGCTGATTAAAAAATGAACGGCGAGTTCACACTTTTCAAAACTAGTCTGTCGTGAAGTTAGTAAAGCACTAAACACTTTGTCAAATTTTTAATAATATCGGATGCGCGTGCAAATTTTGAGAAGGCAATTTCCAAGGCAATGGCGTTTGAAGCAGACGATTTTTGCTCGCAGCGGAGATGGGCTTTTCGGGTTGGCCGGAGCGGGTCACGTGAATGGTGTGACGTTCCGTGTCGTCTCCTGCATGATGCCGCTCAAGCAATTTTTAAAAAAAAGTCAGGTTCTTGCGGGTCACAAAACTTAGCGCAAATTATTCTAAAATGTTCCATTATTTTGTCACAAACGATTGCCATTCCGTATATTCCCACAATGCTGAAGAAACAACGATTTTCTCACGTTCTCCATGCATTTCTGACCGCAGTTGGAACCTCCGGGCGTTCGCCGCTAGTCGCCGAGAGGCGGCGTTCTCGATTGCGCTACTCTGCTCCGAAGGAGCTATATAGTGCTCTAGGCCGACGCAGCCCCCCCTCCCCGTGAGCGTCTGGGTTCGAGATTATTGTTCGCTTTTGCTCCTTGCGGTCGAGGCTAAAAAGAGCACTTCCGGACAAAGGTCTATAGACCATTTCATCCTCCCCCGCATGGGCGCTGCCATCTTGGAATCACGTGACGCGGCAGCCATTAGGTTGCTTCAAGTTGCTGCTCCGCTCTCCCCTCCGCGCCTTGGCGGATGCGTTGCATTCGTGTTTTTCGTCGCGTTTCACCGCGCTTTCTTGCCTTACTTCGGAAACTGTAGTCCGATACGTGTACTCGACGACTAAGACATAACAAGGGTTAAAAGGTCCTTATGACAGCGGAACATTCTCAGTAAGAAGCGCGTATATTTATATCGCGCATCTAGGATCGGAAGGCGTCAAGCATGGTCAGCGCAAGGAGACTATCTGTATTTCCTGAAAGTATCGTTCTTTGTATTCATAATATATTGAAAATAGTTTCTTTTGATTATTTGAGGAAACTCGCGGAGGAGATAGACAACGAACGTTTAGCTTGTATTTTATCTGAGGCTAGAAGTAATAGCACGTCAAGATCAGGCGATTTGTTTATTCATGAGGTTCTCAATATTTTTGCTATGTATGAGGTTCTCAATATTTTTTGCTACGTAAACATTCGTTTGATCGGTTACTTATGAAGTTTAAGAAATTGTATACCATGGCTCGCTCCCATTTCGACAGTCATTTAAGTTATTTATTGATTATAATCAGATAACCAGTGCGAACCACTTAGTTCATTTTAACACAAAGGTTGGGACTTTTCTGCGTAAGAAACTGCCACACACAACTTAACAGTAGCGAGCTTAAGAATAGCGTACACAAATAAATAACGTCGTTTATATTTGCACATCTAAAACGCGGTTTGGGTTCGGCGCATGCGCTATAATGACGACGCTTTTTTTTTTTATGTATGCTGTTTCAACTTTTGTCAGTATCTGAAATCCGCAATATGTAACGCTGGAAAAACAATCTGCATAATAAATTACTTGAGTCCAGGATTGTCAATGGCGAATAGAGATTTACTTTTGGTGGCTGGCGTCGCCGAAATTTACAAAGCGAATATGTTCAAACAAATAAATGTTTGTTTACACAGGTCCGTGAAGTGGTGCCTAGCGCTAGGATTCAGCCAAACTTTCCGAGGTATTTCTCCTCTTGCGCCCTTTAACTTTATATGGCAAATGTTACGGAAGGCAAATGCTAGGTTTAATTTGACGGGCCTGTCACTTATATCATATCTTGAGTAAGCGAATGTTCATATAAAAATAATTTATTTTCTAGGGCCAATATCGCGAAATGCTGCTTATGAATACTTTAGCAGGATTGATAATTTAAGAAATTTCCTACTCGGCCTGTCAAAGCATGCTCGAGTACTGAATAATAATAATAAAAAAGAGGTCGAGACGATACTACTTGTTTATATCAATTATCTGCCTCATTACACGATACGCTTTTAGTCTGCGAATTTCACTAAAAATTGGGTGTCCACGAAAACCAAACAGTGTGTAGTTAGCTCGCGAGTTCATCTGTTCT